ATCCTGGGGTGCCAAGATATCTCTTCTAAGTCTTGCAACAATATTCGGTCATATGACCTCTTTGTTCCCTACTGTATATATATATATATTTGTGTGAATGTAAACTACTTGTACCTGATGATGAGAAAACCTTGTCGAAACGTTGTACATTTGCTGTTATGTTATACTTATATTAAAGTTTTCTTCATTACCCATTCAAGCCGTCTCCAAGCATTATTAGTCTCAAAGTGGGTTCCTCGTCATCGAATTTAACTAAGACAATGTCATATCACCACTCTCGTCAATTAGGTGTTGAAGACAAACACTTGTATTAAGTTGTAGTTCTAGATAAGATTAATTCCCAACCTAAGGTTGGCGTTACATCAGAATAACTCTATCTATTAGTTAGTAATGGTGTCTTAATATGAATTTTCTGGCACTCACGAAATTTTTTAGAATACGTACACTTTTGTCGTTGTTATTCTTAGAGTAATTTGAGATATTCTTTAACCTGTATTGAATTTATACATTTATTTTAGATACCATATCCATTAGCCAAATAAGGAAGACATGTTTTTAGTTTTGAAACTTAGTGTTTGCTTGTTGTTGTTTTTTCTCTATTTTAGAGTTACAGGATGTTCTGCAGCACCATGTAAACGGAAGCATTCCATAGCAGGAAAGGATAATTCAGACGTGTTGATGAAAGCACACCAACAGTACAGTGACCGTAAACAATCAACTTCGCAAGATTTTAAAGAAACATTTAACTCTTTAGAATGTCGAGGAAAGAATGGATTGAGAAAAGAATCTGTAACAGGAAGAAATCAAACAGAAACCAAATCAGTGTATGACCAAAACACTTCGTCACGTAAAAATAAACAGACCAAATGTGTAAAACACATGGAGAAAAACAGATACAGGCACTGTGACCCAACGCGCGTACAGAAAAAAAATAGTCTGAAAAACGAACTAGCTCATAAAAAGACGTGTGCAGAACATAATGATGACAGCAAGTTTATTCGAAAAAATCTAAAAAAATCACATTATTCTCATAAAAAGATAAAACTTAAAACACCTAATGCATGTAATCAAAGTGCAAGTCAAGGAACGAGAGGAAAACAAATTTCAGGCAAAGAAAAAATTATTCGAAATTCAAAGCGGCGGGAATAGAACCAAGTTGCTCTAAAATTTTATGTAGTCAAACAAAAATAGAAGATATGGGAAAAGTAAATAGTAAAAAATACGAAGCACATGATAAAAAATCTGAAAAATGTTTAGGACTTCGAGAAGAAAAATATATTTTAGGTAAAATAAAGGACAAAGCAGCCTCCTTACAGATTATTGAAGATGTCAAAGATCAACAAGATTCTGATGCAGACGCTAAGAGGATTCTAGAAGCAGAAGCTGCCTTAAGAAGTCTCTCTGGGAATTTAGATGAACCTGAAAAGATGTCTCTCTTCGGAGAACTTGATGAAAATCTTATGTTTGAAAATTTGTTTGACAAAAAAGAGAACGAATTTGGTGAATCAGCTTGTGCTGCTCAGTCGAGCTCCTGGAAAGATGTTGTGACACTCAGTGCTTCTTTTTCTAGTAGCAACGAAAGATCTCCGGTTCAGTCACCAATGTTTTCTTCTCCTGACTGTGGCATCACTACTTCCCCTGATGATCAAATGGATGATGTTCTTTCTGATATCAAACCCAACGCACTTAATATTGAGGCCACAAATGAAAACGTAATTGATAGTATTGAACATGAAAAAGATTACTCTGTTCGGACTGAAAAATCAGAAATGTGTGATGTTGAAAACCTATTAAAGATTGAAGAAAAATGTGCAACTATACAATCTATAGGATCTTTTTGTTCTATGAAATTTAAAACCATGCCAGATGTTTTAGTGAGAGAAACTAATTACGAACCTGACAAAATCTATGAAGAAAGTATGCAGGTTGAAAACAGGTCTTCTTTATCGTGTGACACTGTTCCATTCCCAAACCCCTTAAATAATGACAGGAGTTTGCCACGTTTACTACCAGCTGAGGCTTATACAGAACAAAAACAGATATTTACTCATGCAGCATCACGGGTTTCAAATTATACTTTTTCTTCCCCGGAGATACCTCTAGCAGATGCAGAAAAGTTAGAAATAACCCTGGCGATTTCTGAAAGAAATAGCAGTTTTTCAATAATTCAAAATAATGTTTCAAGTCCTAATCCTAGTTCTTCACGGTCCTCCCCAGTGTCACTTTCTACTTCACATAGTTGCAGTCCTAATAGTACACCTCACTGTTCTACCAGTATATCATCATGTACTACCCAAACCACTATATCACCATGTACTACTCAAACCACTATATCATCATGTACTGCCCAACTTACAGATGTAATGAATTCTTCGTGTTTATCACACAGCAACATGGCCTCGTCTAAGGAGTTTCAGGAAATATCATCTTCATTTCATCTTATAGAAAATATACCCAAACGTCCAACTTCATCACAACTAACTTCTTTTGCAACCAAAGGTAACTCTCATTCCCACATCTCAAGTCCCACCTGTGGTGCTGAAAATGTATCAAACAGTTATGTTTCAACGCCGGCATCTCCAGTCCTGGGTTCTGGGCTAAACATCAAAAAGTACACTTCAGTAACTGCATTATTCCCACCTTCTAATGGTCCATCTCAGGTTCCAGTGTTTGTATACCCAGAAGAAAGACTAAATACGGCATCTGGAAAATCATCTATATTGGAGGACCATTTACTTCCTCTACCAGATGATGACAACCCTCTGATCATAGACGAGGAAGAAATTGAATCTAGTAATGAATTTGAGACCCTTCTCACTCCAGGACAATCCGCAGCTTTTTCACCTTCTACGAGCGCTTCTTCTAGTAACTTAGGCCAATTAGCCATGGAACCAGAAATCAAGTATTCCGACGGATGTTTCAAAGGTAAGCTAAGTCTGATCTTCACTGACATATTGTTATGTGTATGTTTCACTGAATCAGTCTACCTGATTTTAGTCATCTTATGTAAAATTCTACTACAAATTATAGTTCCTATAAAACGTATAAACACATTACATTTAAAAGCAACAAAAAATTTAAATCAGTCAAAATATTTTATATATACTCTTGATAACGCAATTATAATTATTTGTTTGTAAATCGTTGTGATTTGTTTCTTTCTACAAAGAAAATCTTGTTTTGTTAATATTAATATACTATTTAATAATAACATTACTCAAAAAAGTTAAGTTCATCAACTGGTTTCCACACCTCAGTAAATTGAGTCTATAAGTCCAGCATTACAAAGATCCCAATAACTAATTACTTTAATAGATATATTGCAAATTCAAAGCTACTTTCGATAAATATTATCAAAGACAACCAACACGTTTTTCCACCTTTTACTATTTGTTGTTAGCATTGAAAGTCACAAATTCTTTAAGTCTTTGTAAGACTAAATGATAAATGAGCTCAAAATCAGTTTATTGACTCTTTGAAGTCATACTAATAACACAAGATTTATCTCATAAAATGTACAAAAAAATTACGAAATGCTAAAATATAATTGTTCCCAAACTACTGGATGTTGGTAAACAGCTACCCACAGTACACGTAATTTGTATTCAAATGACGATTTTGTTGTTTTACATGAATATTAAGTATGATCTACAGGTAGTGTTTGTTTGTTTTTTAATAGGAGTTCTTTTGTTTTTGTTTTTTTTCATGCAATGGGTATGAATAAATTGTAGCTTACGAATGATTGAATTAATATATTTTAATGTCCATTATCTACTAGTGTCATATGTTTCTACAATAAATGGCACAAAGCACTATCACAAAACGGAAACTATGAGTGATATTACTTTTAACCATAGTGATGCAATTAGTTCTTCAAGAAGAAGAGACAGCCACTGCTACCCACTGTTGACAGCCTTGGTGCTGTGCTTGTTGACTATCTGCTACTCACTGTTGGCAGCCTTGGTGCTGTGCTTGTTGACTATCTGCTATTCACTGTTGACAGTCTTGGTGCTGTGCTTGTTGACTATCTGCTACTCACTGTTGGCAGCCTTGGTGCTGTGCTTGTTGACTATCTGCTACTCACTGTTGACAGCCTTGGTGCTGTGCTTGTTGACTATCTGCTACCCACTGTTAACAGCCTTGGGGCTGTGCTTGTTGACTATCTGCTACCCACTGTTGACAGCCTTGATGCTGTGCTTGTAGTCATCTGCTACTCACTGTTGACAGCTTTGGTACTGTGCTTGTTGACTATCTGCTACCCACTGTTGACAGCTATGTTGCTGTGCTTGTTGACTATCTGCTACTCACTGTTGACAGCCTCGGTGCTGTGCTTGTTGACCATATGCTACCCACTATTGACAGCCTTGGTGCTGTGCTTGTTGACTATCTGCTACTCACTGTTGACAGCTTGGTGTTGTACTTGTTGACTAGCTGCAACCCACTATTGACAGCCTTGGTGCTGTGCTTGTTGACTATATGCTACCCACTATTGACAGCCTTGGTGCTGTGCTTGTTGACTATCTGCTACCCACTATTGACAGCCTTGGTGCTGTGCTTCTCGACTATCTGTTACCTACTGTTTTCTTGCAACATAATTATCCCAGGTACTGTACTGCTCGTCGTGAAACATTACAAATTTGGATGAACACTCCTTCCCAATGCCGCAACGTATCCTTGGTCTTTGTGCGAAATTCGGCAGCCAGGCACAACAACCTTGAGAAATATACTTCGTTACTTTTAAAGATTCATGCAGTTTATGTTATTATATGAAATATGTTAATGCTACACATTACTTAATGTCTTACCTTCTTTTGTTTTTATGTTAAAGGTTTCATTAATAAATACATAATAAGAAATATCATTGAATTAGTGTTAAATTTGAAAATGGCTCCCGAATATTTATTAGACTTTAACTGTAACCATTTTTTCTCCAAAGAGCATCCATTAATGCAGATCCATTTGTTCAGTAACAATGACATTTTACCTATAGTAGTAATAAACCTTCATAACACCAAGTTTATTATTTTTATTCAATTGGACATTCTTTATAGCTTCTTCAAGAGCATTTCATTAAAACACAATCCCTAACTGACAAAAAAACCTTTATTTGGTTTAAATACTGGACTATTGAACCATGGCCTTCCTTCTTTATTCAAGTTTTTAGACTTTCTAAATTCCATACGCCCCAACATGCAATGACAAGAAGGGTATAGATTTTCTTGACGTTACCATAATGATAATAATATAAAATGTACCATGTTTCACAAACCAATTAGAAAACCTCTTTTTTCTAAAGTTCAACTTCCATCATCCAATAGCTTTCAAGAAAGGTGCAATTATTGAAGAATTGATTCGATCGCAATTGTAGTGAAAAAATACTACAAATTCTGAAGTAAGATCACTCCTTGTGAACAACGAATATCCACATTTTTTACGTCGAAAAAATTCAAGAATCCTGATGTGCAAAAATTAGCACCACACCTCCAACATGAAAAAATACAGATAAACCAGGTGGGAAAATTTTCCAAAGTTAACACAAAAAAGATTACTTTTACGGTACGTCTAATAGACGAAACTATTGCCAAGAAAATAAAAGCTATAATCAAGAAACTGCCAATTAAAGTTATAGAATGGCCAGGTCCAACCCTCAAAAGCCAACTTTCAAAATCTCAGTACACTATCCTAAATTGCAATAAAGACAATTGTATTACAAAAACGTGTTTACAGTCTAAAGATGGGTGTCTTGTCTCCATTGTTGTTTACCAGCTTACATGTAACATCTGCTATGATACGTACATAGAAGAAACCAGAAAAACCCTATACAAAAGGATAAGAAAACATATTGACACTCTTTATAAACAACAATATGAAAGAAGTACAGTTGCAGATCATTTTGTAACTAAACATGAACGAGTAACACCTGACATGAAACCACCATTCTCTGTACATCTCCTTACCAAAGCCATCAAGTATACAACATGGACGAGTAACACCTGACATGAAACCACCATTCTCTGTACATCTGCTTACCAAAGCCATCAACTACACAACATGGACAAGTAACACCTGACATGAAACCACCATTCTCTGTACATCTCATTACCAAAGCCATCAAGTACACAACATGGATAAGTAACACCTGACATGAAACCACCATTTTCTGTACATCTCCTTACCAAAGCGATCAAGTACACAACATAGACAAGTAACACCTGACATGAAATCACCATTCTCTGTACATCTCCTTACCAAATCCATCAAGTACACAACATGGACAAGTAATATCTGACATGAAACCACCATTCTCTGTACATCTTCTTACCGACGCCATCAAGTACACTGACAGAAAATTTAAATAAGGTCTTCTCATCGAACAACTACGACCACAGACGAATATGGACAAATTATGACCTTTATAATTATAATTATTTTATTTTATCATCTTAACATTTGTTATTTCAATCTGTAACTTAGATAGAAATTTGTTTACTACAGGTAGCAGTTAATTATTTCAACAATTTCGATGACGAGGAACCCACTTTGAGACTATTAATGCTTGGAGACGGCTTAAATGTGTCATGAAGAAAAACTTTAACATAAGTTTAACATAACAGCAAATGTATAACATTTCGACAAGATTTTGTCATCATCAAGTACAAGTAGTTTACACTGACACAAATATATATATATATATATACAGTAGGGAACAAAGAGGTCACATGACCGGATATTGTTGCAAGAATTAGAAGATATATCTTGGCACCACAGGGTGTTGGTTTAGAGTAGGGTTGTTTTGTTCAATTAAGATATATTCCTTGATTTCTCGTTTGTTTATGTTTGGTTCTTTGTTTAAAATTACTGTGTTTTTAATAGATATACTATGTTTTTTTAGTTGCAATGGTGGAAAACGTGGGACGTTTTTTTTTATCGTGTTCTGTGAATCTG